TGCAATAGATTATAGAAAACATTTTGCTTTTCGAATACATATATCACAAATAACCTCATCAACTCGCCAATATATCAACTCTTTCAATATCATGTTTAACACTTAAAATTCTATTATACTTTCAATATAGAAACCTAGCACAAAGCAAAATAAAAAAGAACAGTTGTGAAATGATATAGTAACATGGATTAAAGAAGAAAATAGTGGTTAGAGAGAGCTAAATATAGCTGAAACAATTGGCAAACCATTTATTCAAGACTTAACCAATATATTGTAGTATATAGATAGATACAGTAGTGATATATTTACTCAACGATATAGCTTATCAAAAGCTTTTAAGAATTTCATGGGATATAATAATCTACAACATTATAAATATGCCTAACTTAGTTTTAATCAGACCTACCAAATAATTGATTTTAGAAGCAATTAATTGCAATTTTCGATCCCAATTAATTGATTGGTGGCATAGTCACAATTGGCCAATTAATTGCAATTTTACATAATTAGATTTCATATCATATATTCACCATTAATATTATTATTTATAATAAATATATATGATTTTTGATTTTTCGCTATTTAAAAATCGAGTTATATTAGGCAATGCTTTATGCAGAAAATTGAATTTAATTGCAATAAATTGCAATTATTTCATCATTAATTGGGGTTTAATTAATTTTATGATAATTTTAATTAATTTTAATTGTATGATATATGACAAAAATTGATTGCAATTAATTTTTCAGTAGGTCTGGTTTTAATATTAAAGAACTTAATGAACATAGTGATCATTTTCTCAAATACATTACTTACTTGTGGATAACAAGGTTACCATTTTCAGTATTTTTTAGAGAACCAGTAGTAAAACTTAGTGAAGATCTTTTCAGATATGCAGAATATTTTATTTGCAAATATATAATAATATTACAAAACTAAAAACTTGATCAACCTGTAGTTAATGAATATGATAATAGCGAGCTAAAAATATTTAAAGCAAATGATAAATGTAAATTGGTGGATATTTTAAAATATAGAAGCCTTTCATCAGCCTTACAAGAAAGACAATACTGGCAACCAATTTTGGCTGATGATTTTGCTCTTCAATATCATGAGTATAAGTATTTATATACTATAAAAAAAAAAAACGAAATTAAAACCTATTTTACATTGTGTTAAATTCAAACAGACAAAAGCATCGATATTTGGCAAATTTGGAGATTAGATTCATATTTAAAATTGGAATCTATACTTATCATCATGGAAATATTTGCAATACAACACATATTTGGTGCATAGATAAGAAAGCGACAGAAAAGAAAACTTCTAACCAATATTATAAAATCAGAACAGAAATAAAAAAATTTTTTCCTACTTATTATATATATCATATGTATAAAGAGTATATAGATATATGCAAACTCTATCTAAACAAACAACCGATGACAAAATTGAGATATATATATAAAGAATTAACAAATAATATTTTAGCCGTAAAATGACAGATCAAAAAGAAATTGATGAATATATCAAATTGACCTTTGAATTAAATGATTCTAAAATAATTAGTAACTTTAGAGAACTTAATGAAGGTCAGCCAAGTAAATATAATAAATTTTGGACTACCAATAAAAGGTTTTTA